CCCCAAAACCCCAAAACCCCAAAACCCCAAAACCCCTCTATATATTATCACTGTTGCAAAATCAAACACGTATAATTATTTTAAAGATGAGTAAGATTTTTAGGAGACAGCTATCTGCTCTTAATAAGAAGAATTGGCTTATCTATAAGAGAAACAAAGGAGTCATACTTGTTGAGTTCTTGCTTCCCTTAATTATCATGGCATTTGTAGTTTCAATTAAGAAATCCTCCATGGTAATTGACCATGAGCCAACTAGTTATGAGCTTTATGGGTTCTATGCACATCAGAGCTACAGTGATGAGAGCTTCCTGTTCAAATCTTCCATGTTTACATGCCCACCAGGGACTGCTATTGGGATAATTGGAGGGGATAAGGATGAAATTTTGAAAGATACATTGAAAAACCTATATCTAGAAGAAAAGAAGAGCTACAGTGCTTTAGAAGAACATGAGATCATCAATTTTGACAACACAAAAGAGTTTTACAATTATATCCGCCAGTATAAAGATGTGGAGAGTCCTCCTAATATCACCAAGCTTTGATTTGGAGCTGAAATGCAGAGGGAAGGAAAGCAATATAATCTGAAAATTCATGTCATGTATCTTCCCTCTGGAGATTCTATACCTTTTGAACAAGGCGATAGCCTTCCTAAACTTTTTGGTGGGTACTCAGAGATGAAGAATAGCCATATGAGTACCTTCACGATGGCAGTAAGCGAAGTAATTGCTTCAAGATATGAGAAAGACGTGGATCATGAGTTTAGAGTTGCTTTTGTTCCAAGAAAGACAGGTGCTTTTCGACAGGATTACTTTTCCTCAGGAATGTCTCAAACTTTTTCCCCTCTTGTTGTGGTAATTTTCTTGGCTCCTTTCATGAACTTCTATCCAAAAGCCCTAGATGAAAAGGTAAATAGAATGAAAGAGTATATGAGAATGATGGGAATGAAGGACTCAGCATATGTTTTAAGTTGGGCTATTTATTACACTCTCCAAATTTTTATTGTCTCATTAGAGATGGCCATTGTGACATCTTTGTATTTGGCAACAAGCTCAAGTTTCATTTTGGTTTTCTTGTTCTTCTTTATGTATGGTGTTTCATTATTTGGATTCATACTCTCACTTGTGGCTATTTTCAACAATAAGAGAACAGGATCTGCAGCAGGAGTCATTATTCATTTTGCTACGTTCTACATAGTTCATGCAGTTCCAAAATCAGCTGGTTATTACTCAAGACTTCTCTCCTCATTCATACCAAATATGGCAATGAGCCAAGGAGTAGAAGTGCTCTGGAAGCTTGAAGACAATGAAGCAGGGTTAAATTTCTCAACAATGACTCATCTCCACAAAAATTTTAACATTAGTTCTTACTTTTTCATGTGTTTGGTTAATACAGTTTTATATACTTTAATCGCCATATATCTGACTTATGTAAGTAAATTCCTAACTTTTAGACACTACCCAATGATTATGGCCTTAGGAAGCACCCTTTGTTCTGTATATTGCCAAGTTCATGAAAAAAGAGAAGCAAGAGTATGCCCTCGATTTGACATTTAGAAGGAAACTATTCTCGTCTGAATGACAATCATGAGGAAATTGATATGGAAGAGATCAAGAAAAATACTAATTTTGAGCCAGTCCCGCCTCATTTTAAGAACAGAGACAAGCTTAGCATAAGGAAGTTGGTTAAAGTGTACGATAATGGACTTAAAGCGGTGGATGACTTGTCGCTCACGATGTATAAAGACCAAATTTTCGCTCTCCTTGGTCCGAACGGGGCTGGTAAAACTTCTACTATCTCAATCATCACTGGTTTGTACGAGGCTACAGAAGGTGAAGCTGAGGTTTTTGGAGCTAATATTTTTGATGAAATGGACAAAATTCGTGAAAACTTAGGAGTCTGTCCTCAGTATAATGTACTGTTCGATCAATTGACTCCTGAAGAGCATTTCAATATCTTTTGTGAGTTCAAAGGAGTTTCAAAGAAAATTAGAAGAAGAGTGATACAAGAAATGTTGGAAGAATGTGACCTAGAGCAACAAAAAGAACTCTTGTCTAAAAATCTTTCAGGCGGTCAGAAACGGAAGGTAAACGTCGGTATTGCTCTACTAGGAGGATCTAAACTCGTCTTGCTTGACGAGCCTTCTTCTGGGCTTGACCCTACAGCAAGAAGAAGATTATGGGATATGCTCAAGAAGAACAAACAAGATAGAATTATCATACTTACAACTCATTTCATGGAAGAGGCTGATATCCTTGGAGACCGGATTGCAATCATGACTAAAGGAAGAGCAAGCTGCTGTGGGTCATCTCTGTTTCTAAAAAAGAAGTTTGGTGTTGGGTATAATCTCACAATTGACAAGATATATAAAGATAAAGCACCACAGATAGATGCCTTTATTCTTAACAAGATAAGTACCGCCCAGAAGTTGTCAGAAGTAAGCTCAGAAATGACATATCAACTCCCTAATGACTCAGTTAAGAACTTTAAGGAGTTCTTCAAAGCCTTGGATGAGAACAAGCTAGAGCTTGGTTTAAAATCGTACGGAATTGGAGTAACTACTCTAGAAGAAGTATTTTTAAAGGTCTGAGAGGGTCGCCAGATTGATGAAATTGATGACTTTTCCTCTAAAGAAACTGACAGAATGGATCAAGACATATCAGACTCATATTGACTTCTTGACGAATCTGTGTCAGGCTTCCATTTGGACAGACTGCAGATTTTTGCCATGATCTCTGCAAGGCTGAAGATGATATTTAGACATATCAGACCAATCGTTTTTGAAATTTTATACCCTTCACTTCTGATCATCTTCGGAGCACTAGTACTGACTCTTTCTGTAAATGCAAGCAACCGTGTAACTACAGTGAGCATGAATGATTTTCCAATGAAGCAAGAGTTTAGTTATTCAGAGTATGAGCCCAATGTTAATCCTGATTTATCCAAAGATTTCGTTGAAGGGTTCTTCAAAAATGACGTGTTTACACCAATCCATTTTGAGATGGACCAAGAAGGGGATATAAAAGAAAGATTTTCTAGACTAGATCAGATCTTGCTTGGCAAAAGTAAGCAAGACCAGTCCTATGGAAGTGCTTACATTAAGGAGATTATTAACAATGCTACCACCAATTTGTATGATATTATCACAGTTTTAGACATTAATTCAGCAGGTGTTTTGCCATATTTCACTGGATTCATGAGTAATGCATTGCTGAAACATTCAACAGGGGATGAAGAGATCTCTCTTAACCTCTCTTACGGAGGATTTCCGCAATCAAAGCTTCTAGATAATGTTCTTTCAACTACAATGGCGATCATGACTGTTATCTCATTCAGTCTTTCTGTCGGAAGTATTACTTCAGCAATTGCAGCAAATCTTGTGAGTGAAAGGAACGATGCTATTAAGTACCAGCAGATGATAAGTGGAGGGAGCTTATTTTCTTACTGGTTCAGTGTGTACTTTGTGGATATTCTTAAATTCATTCTTCCAGCTGCTTCCTTTGTAATAATCACTTATACAATGGACTTTAGTGTTGATTATAGCTGGATATTACTGATAATGATGATAATAGCAGTCTTGCCATTCACCTATTTACTAACTTTCTTCTTCAAGAAAGATAACACAGCCAGAACTGCTGTGAGTTATCTCCAATTCTTCTTCGGAGGATTCATGGCTCTGATCATTTTTGCATTCCAAATGCTATCAAGTGAAGGATTTTACATAAAAATTTTCAAATGGATCTGAAGATTTCAGCCTGGATTTTCCTTCTGTAACGCAATTGTCCAGATGTTGATGAAGGATATTATTCCAGATGTAAAGGAAACCTCGTTATTCTCTTTAGATAAAGTTGGTGGGGACATCCTAATGCTCTGCATTTGTCCATTTTTGTACTTCTTCGTAATGTACCTTATTGAAACAGAGTGTGTAACATTTGGCCAGACACAAGCGGAGACTGAGAACCTTGACCTTGACGAAGACGTGCTCGATGAAGAGAGGAGGCTCGATCATTCCCTTGCCTCAGATTACCAAGTTAGAGTGAAAAATTTGAACAAGGTGTATAACGACAGAGGTATTAAGAAAGTAGCAGTTAGGGAACTCTCCTTCGGATGCCAATATGGTGAATGCTTCTCCCTTCTTGGTGTAAACGGGGCTGGCAAGACTACCACCTTTAAGATGCTCACAGGAGAAATCAAGCCAAGTAAGGGTAAAGTTCATATCAACGGCTATAATGTACTTGATAGACATGAATTGTCTCAAGCGAGGAAATATATCGGATATTGTCCTCAATTTGATGCTCTGTTCAGTGGCCTGACAGTAAGAGAACATCTTGAGTTCTATGCTAGAATCAAGGGAGTTATTCCTGAAGTTAGAGAGAAAGTTGTGAAAGGTAAATTAAAGCAAATGGACCTGTTAGAATATGAACATTCTACAGCAACCAAACTCTCCGGTGGGAATAAGAGGAAATTATCAGTAGCCATGGCTATGATCGGCAATCCTCCAATTATTTTCCTTGATGAACCATCTACAGGGATGGATCCCAAAGCGAAGAGATTTATGTGGTCTGTGATCTCAAATATCACAACTTTGAAGAAGAAAAGCGCAGTGGTTCTTACTACTCATTCTATGGAAGAAGCAGAGGCTTTATCTACTAAATTAGGAATCATGGTTAGTGGTCATTTTAAGTGATTTGGAACAGTCCAGCACCTTAAAAGCAAGTTTGGAAACTTTTATGAGATCGAGTTTAGGACATGTACCCCTGATGAAGAGAAAGCAGCTAGCTATCTCCTAAATACCTCATTTGGGGATGATTTTGTGGTGGATGAATTCCATCTTATGGATGTGTTGAGCAAATGAGGGTTTGATCATCTCAAAGATGAATTCACTGATCATGGATTAGGCAAAGAAGTTCTACTAAATGACTGTTCTAACAAAGGAATTAAAATCATAGAGCTCCTGCAATGATGCATCAATATTGATGAAGTCACTCAAATTCTAAAGGATCTAGTAGATAGATTTGGAGATCTCGAGTTAATTGAGCATTATGGAGCTTCATACAAGATCAAGCTACCTGCATTCAATCTCTCAGTTGGAAAAATGTTTGAGATCTTTGAGGAGGACTACAAAGAGAGATACTATATCTCTGATTACTCAGTGACGCAGGCAACTTTAGAGCAAATCTTCAACAGTTTTGCAAAGGAACAGTACGTGCAAGAACCTCCAAGACAGATTACTAGGGAAGATTTTGTGTACTAAAAGGCTCAATCCAAGGCATCGTCTCTGGGGTTTTGGGGTTTTGGGGTTTTGGGGTTTTGGGG